TTGTTGTTGAAGCTGGATGCCCAGTGTTGATAAATTCTGAGCCAGTGAATTTCTTTGCATTTCTATCACCCATATCTGGCTGTTTATCTGCACCTCCCGTATACTTTTGTTTGTTTGTTTTTGAGACAGAGTTTCTCTGTGTAGCTTTGGAGCTTGTTTACAAATTTGCTGTGTAGACCAGGCTGGCCGCAAACTCACAGAGATCCTCCACCTCTGCCTCCCGAGTGCTGGGATTAAAGGTGTGCGCCAGCCGTGCTTGGCTTGTGCCACCACTGCCCAGCTCAGTACACTTCTTATAGGGAGAAAAGGGCACCACCTGCCCCAGGGGACATCTGCGCACCCCAGGTCAGCCTTAATCTTTTTTACCTGGACTACCGATTTTTTTTTTTTTGTGAACTTTTGGTTAGACTTTTAGCTTTCTAAAAGTGCTTTACGATGGTTGGTTGTACCCATAAGAGTTGCGGCACTATTGCGCCTGCTGACATTACTGTAAATTTCTCCCTATGAACTCTGCCCCTACAGAAATCTTGCCCTATTTGTCTGCTTTGCCCTTCTCTCATCCCATTTTGGTTCCCCTCATATTACCTCAACTTATTTGTCTAAAGGATCACCAAGTAGTTATATGACTCATTTTCTCTGCTTCAGCCTTGACCCGTCCAGCAGGCCAGGTTATTTGTGGGTCTCGAGGGGGTACCACCTACGAGTCAAATGGGGGCGAGAGAGGAGGAGACCAAGCGGCGCAAGAAAGGACAAGAGTCCGTCTGTGCAATGTCAAGGTCTCGATTTATTGGGGCTTAGAGTGGGCTTAAATAGCCCTGCAACAATAGAATTGGGGGGAATAATAGAAGGAACATCAGGTATTTGCTGGGACTGGAACATTCTTCTTGTCAGCCGGAACATCTAGTGGTCTTTCTTGGAACAGCGAACAGAAAAGCTCCAGACCCTTTCTCGGAACAGAAGCAGTTAGCAGTTCCACTTGGCCAAACCGTATCTAATTACAGGTTACAGGAGGCTCACAGAGCTGGCTTTAAGCCGCAAACTTAAAGGTCATTAAAAGTCTTACAAAGGTGGGCTTTAAGCCGCATAGTTTTGGGCCCACGGCCTCACTCAGACAGATCTCATCTAGCATCAGTAGCCCTGGCCAAGGCAGGTTACTTCATGTTGTAATAAAAGGTCCTTCCCAGCTCAAGCACTTCCATAGCAGAACACCCCTGACTGGCATGCCTCCTATATGGCCGTTATTAAGTCTTCCAGCTAAATTGAGTTCTTTCCCTTCTCTGAATTAAAGGGAAACCAGGGCATCTTCTGTGATCTTTGCCTTGCTTGAATCTGACTCTTCCTGTGGATTCTGTGTTCTTGGACCAAAGACTCTTTGGAGTGGATGTGACTTGTGTTCTCTGTCCCTTTGAGCCTCTGGCCCTAAGATAGGAAGCCGACACCTCCCAGTCATCCTCTCTTTTATCCACATTACCCACAAACTCAGAAGTTAACGGAGAGGCTGCTGGCCATGGCTCCCTTTCCTGCTGTTCCCTCCCTTCTTATACAAGCCAGTCCCTCAGCCCGTATCACATCAGCTACCAGAGCTCATCACAAGCCTGGTAACTACTTCAGAGAAGGGGTGGAGGAGGGTCAGGGGACCCCCCAAAGCAGCCGTTTACAGTTGTACCCCAATTACATACAGCCTCAGTGTCTCGGAGGGGCTCCATCTATGCAGCTGTGGAGAAGCCATCGTCCATGGCAGCCATTGCTGCTTTTGAGTCGCCCACACTCTTGCCATTGCCCCTTACCTATGCTCTGTAGATAAGCCAATAGTAAACTCAATTGATTCTCCAGGGGCCAACTCGGGTAGAATAGGGCTTGGGTTTGTTATTGGGAATTTAGGAGGACAGAGGGGATAGACACTTTTCTAAACCTCATCTCTCAGAAATTGTGAGAGTGGCTGTCACGCAGCTGCTGGTGCAGTAGACCCAACAGCTCTGACACATCTGTGCTTCTGCTCTCGGGGACTGTGACGAAACCCTGGTCCCCTGCTGTTTTCAGAGTGTCCACATACTCACAAGGCAGGCATACAGAACTACTCTTAAGACCACAAAGAAGAAGGCTCCCCAGGGATTTCCTCTGAAGACCTTACATTCTCAGATAACTCTGTCTTTGTTGCAGGACATAGCACCCATTGAAGGACACACACACACACACACACACACACACACACACACACACACATACACACACACACACACACACAGTACAGGTCTTGGTTCCCACCTCAGGCTCTGCAGAGTTTCCCCTCCTGGACTCATCTTGCCCTTCTGTTGGTCCCCATTTGGATGTCAATTCTGACTTTTCTTGGGGATATATAAACATCATCTTACACCAGATAGGGAACCAGGGACAAAACAAAGTGATGATCCCACCCAAGTTAAACTCAGAGAACCACTGAGTTCACAGAAGTTACCAACAGGAGTGTGGATCCCAATGGGTTAGTTACAGGACAGAATTGACCAGAAGGCACTGCACTGTGGAAAGCCAACCTCAGTATGGATAACAGCTCATGAAAGCTGTAGCCCTGGAGCTCACCACTGCCCAGGCAGCCAATGGGTTGAAGAGCTGCCCCTACACAGTCTTTACTAACTATGTAACTTTAGGGAAGAAGGGGTTGTGTGAATCCTGTAAGCCTCAGGGACTTCCTGAGATTTGTGAGTTGCTTACTTAGCCTTCACCAGTCTCCCTCCAGGATCGAAGTGTTTAACTAGAAAAATATTGTTACATAACACTGGACCAAACAAGTACCCACATCCAAACCTGTAACTAAAGCAAATCTTATTTCCATACCCCAATTAGACTCAGGCCCCAAACTACATCTACACCAAACCCCTACCCACAGCAAACACACACACACACACACACACACACACACACACACTCTCTCTCTCTCTCTCTCTCTCTCTCTCTCTCTCTCTCTCTCTCTCTCTCTCTCTCTCTCTCTCTCTCTCTAAAACCCACACCTATACCTTCACTCCTACTTCTCCAAAATTAGTATTCATACCCAACCCCTACCCATAACAAACCCCATACCTACATATCCTATGCCCACCCATATTCTCACTCAAACCCATAGCCATAGCCAAACCAGTACCTGACCCAGAACAAAACCACAGCAAAAAGCTGGGTGCCCATCTTCCAGTATGTAGGTCAGTGGGCTTGGGACTCTTGTGAGCACTCTCTCTCTCTCTCTCTCTCTCTCTCTCTCTCTCTTTCTCTCTCATACCCACTTCATCTCTTGGACAGGACACTCAAGAGTTCCCGTTTCTGCTGGAGGGTGGTGGTGCACACCTTTAGTCCCAGCACTCGGGAGGCAGAGGCAGGAGGATCTCTGTGAGTTCGAGGCCAGCCTGTTCTATAGAGGGAGTTCCAGGTCAGCCAGGTCTACACAGAGAAACCCTGTCTCCAAAAACCAAAAACCAAACCAAAGGGGAAAAATTCCACTTCTGGCATCACATTAACTTTATTATTTTTATATTTAAATAATATAAATATAAATATTTATATTATATTTATAAATATATATAATATATAACATATATAATATAAAAATTATATATAAGAACCTGAACCACATAAAAAAGAGCTGGAGTTGGCCCTCAGGGATGGAGCCCTTGCCTAGATCCCCCCAGTGAGGGTCTGGGGGTGTGACTCAGGGGTGGAGCCCTTGCCCAAGAATCCTCCAGTGAGGGGCTGGGGGCGTGGCTCAGGGGTGGAGCCCTTGCCTAGGATCCCCCAAGGAAAGAGGCCTCCGGGGGGGGGTTGGGGGCGTGGTTGGGGGGTGGAGCCCCTGCCTAGAATCCTCCAGTGAGGGGCTGGGGGCGTGGCTCAGGGGTGGAGCCCCTGCCTAGAATCCTCCAGTGAAGGGCTGGGGGCGTGGCTCAGGGGTGGAGCCCCTGCCTAGAATCCTCCAAGAATCCTCCAGTGAGGGGCTGTGGGCGTGGCTCAGGGGTAGAGCCCCTGCCTAGAATCTCCCAGTGAGGGGCTGGGGGCGTGGCTCGGGGTGGAGCCCCTGCCTAGAATCTCCCAGTGAGGGGCTGGGGATGTGGCTCAGTGGCTGGGTGTCCTTGTGGCCCATCACAAAGAATGATCTTGGTATGTGAGTTCAGGTTGCCCTGGGGACAGTGTTCGTTTCCCTCTCATTTGCCCTTCTGTCCCAAAGGGATTCTGATCCTTTCTGATTTTCCCCAGGCCTCACCCTCCCTGCCTCACTATATTAACGGCACTTAGGCCTCAGTGGGTCACGTCATTTTTCAGATGAAGTCACCCTGAGCTCAGGTTTGCTCTGTCCAAGGTTATGGACTCTGACCATTTGGCACAAAGGCCATAAAACCTGTCAGGGGCTCTCCACCTGAGGTCACCTTGATGGTGGGTTCATCTGCTTGTCTTTCTGGCTGAGGGGGGCAAGAGCTGCAGATTGAGGACATCCAGGACCTAGTAGCCAGCAGAGGCTGATGCAGGACAGCCTCCCCAGCTCTGGCTTTAGAGGGTGGGCTGTGTGTGTGTGTGTGTTGCGGGGAGATGCATACGTGTGTTCTTGACTGAGTGCATCCCTCTCAGGCCGAGGGTGAACTCTGTGACAGATAATGCTGTTGGGGAGATAGTGAGGTCCCTGTGGTGGGAGGGAAACAAGTGGGGGGGGTGGCAGGAAGTTCTGTAGAACATTCCACTGTTTCTCCAGCAGTGGTGCACTTTTATCTCAGCACTCAGGAGGCAGAGGCAGGTGGATCTCTGTGAGTTCGAGGCCAGCCTGGTCTGCAGAGCGAGTTCCAGGACAGCCAGGTCTACTTAAAGAAACCCTGTCTCACCAGGTCTGGTCATCTTAGGAAAGCAAGCATGGAGGGAGAGAGAAGGGAGGAGAGGCAAGAGAGAGAGAGAGAGACAGAGACAGAGAGAGAGAGAGAGAATGCTACTTGCACAGCCTGTCAGCTCTCAAAATGATGAGGCAGGATCACGAATTGGAGGCCAGTTTGGATTGTCATTTTTATTGAGTTACAAGTTGCCATGTGCGGGGATTTGTGGCTCCGACCCCTCTCTCCTTGGGTGCCCAGCTCCCAGTCCCAAACTATGGGTGCGGTTCAGCGGGTCTCCCCTGACAGGACGGGAGCCCCTCCCCAGGGCTCCCTTTGGGGCTTCCCAGTGCAGAGTGGAGCACAGCAGAGGGGAAGACCGAGTGGGGTGGCAGCCCACCCGCTGCAGCATTGGGGACTCGGGGAGGCAGGGAGAGGGCTCTGTACAAGGTCACACCTGCGATCACTCGTGCAGAGGACACAGTGGCTGCACTGGGCACTGAGTCTCCAACACTGGCTGCGCCCGGCCCGCCCTGGGGTCTATCCAAGCCCCGCCCATTGGCGTGAGGCCCCGCCCATCCAGCACATGCCCAGTCAAAGGGAGTCAGTCTCAGCGCCCACCGCCGGGCCGTCACTTCTCCCCAGGAGCCGGCTCTGGCTGTGACGGCTGTGGCTCGGGCTGTGGCTCGGGCTCCGGCTCCGGCTCCCACAGCAGGAACTCGTGCAGCAGAGTGTTGACTGTCTCCGGACACTCGAGCATCACCATGTGGCTGCCTTCCTCGATGAGCTTGAGAAAGGCCAGCAGCAGGATCTGCAGGCACACAAGGAAGACCCTCCTGCTGCCTACCCTTCAGCCTCACCCTGCTGCTGCGTCACCGGTACTCATTCACTCAGTCAACACCCTTGAGCGCCTACAGTATGCCCCGGGTAGGACTTCTCAGCCTGGACTCTGCTGACACTTGGGGTTGGGTCTTAGCTGCAAGCCTCCTTGGACTCCCCACTCACTGATGCTAAGGACAGTCTGCCCTCCTTCCCTGTTCACAAATGCTTCTTGATGTCTCCAAGAGTCCCCTGTAGAATAAATCTGCCCTTGATGAGGGCCTCCCCTCAATCCCTCCGGCATACCCACCCTGAGAAGCCCGAAGTCCTAAGAACCCCAGATCCTTTACTCCAACGTCTATCTCCACCTGCTCCCGGAGTTAGGGACCCGCTCCCTGGTGAGGAGGAGAAGGCTGTGAATGCCAACCGGGGGCAGCCCTGACATTTACATTCTCCTTCAGGCTCAGCCCAGAAGTGGGGGCCTCCTGTGGAGAACACACCTACATGTGACCACATCCACACAGGGCTCATACCTACTCCAAAACCATACTAACCCAGGACCACACTCATCCATTTTCCACCTAAAACATACCTGTCTAGAGGCCATACCCATTACAAACTGCACCCTTCCAAAGGCCACAGACATCCAGATGTCTTAAGTAATGAAAGCCACACCCACCCATAAACCATACCCCTGTCAAGGCCTGCACCCAGAGACCTCGCCCACCCGGAGCTGTGGGAAGTCCACACCCACTGAGCCACAGTTCAAGCCTACTCAGAATCCGTTCTAGCAGGATACATGTCTTGGGACCACACTCACCTGGATCCTGTACATAGTGGGGGGGGGGGGGGGGGGGCGTGCCTGCGGTCCGGGACTGCAGTCCTACCTCAGCCATGCGTTGGTCCTCCTCCACTGGCACGAACTTGTCATGCATGCCATGCACCAGCAGCACGGGCACCGTCAGCTCCGCATGGTAGACTTCGTCACCCTCAGGCCAATACTGGCCGCTCATCATGGCCCGCAGCACAAAGGAGGACACATTGAATGCATTTCCCTCCTTCAGCAGCTGCTTCTCTTTAGCCCCTTGACGGGCAAAGCCGGCCCTGGGGGTACAAAGACATCCTTGGAGCCTGGCCATGGTGGGACCAGAGGCAGCCCTACAGATCCCCAGAGTCAGTCCCTATAAACCAGGAACCCACGCCCGGATCCCAGGCGCAGGGCACTCACTTGAGGAAACTCCAGGCCAGGCAGGGCGACAGACAGTGCAGGACACACGTGGGCATGTTGAAAATGGAGCAAAGGCTGGGCTCCAGCGCCGTGGGGCCCCCGCCGTTGATCATGATCACTTTGTGAACAAGATCTGGGTACTCGTGGGCCAGGAATGTACAGAAAGAGACCCTGGGAGCAGGGAGGGGAGAAGCCAAGTCAGCAGATACTAACAGTGGGGGTTTCATTTCTTCTCGGTGACCTCGATCACTAGGAAGCCCACCTGACCAACAGATAGGGTGGCCCTCCACGCCCAGGTATGCAGTGCTGGTGATGGGAACTAGGGCTTTATGAATGTTGGGCATGCGCTCTAGAAGCTGAGCTTCAGGCTGAGCCCTTTGGTTTTTGAGGCAAGCCCTCAGGAAGCCCCACACATCTCCACCCTCTTGGCACTGGGAGTGCACCATGCACCCCCTATGAGTTTAGGGGTATTTAGGGCTGGCGGGATAGCTCAGCCATTAAAGGCTAGGCCCACAACTAAAAATATAAGTTTTGGGGTATTTCTTGTTTGAGACAGAATCTCACTATATAGCTTTGGCTGGCTGTATGGACCAGACTGGCCTAGAACTCCCAGAAACGCGCCTGCCTCCCAGGCATGCTGCCGTGGAACTTGGCATAGCTGTCTGTGACCACTCTGTCTCATCACTCTGAAGTTTCCCCAAGAGAGAATGTGACCCCTGGGGGCAGGCTACTTGCTAAATGGCATGTGGCACCAATGCATCTGAGAGACTGACTTACGGCAGACCACACCTCAGCAAACAATATTTAGGGGAGTGTGATTAGCCCTTCTCGCTGCAGCTCGATGCTGGGAACCCCTCAGTGGCTTCCAGTACTTCTATTCAGCATCAGAAGACAAGATGGTCATGGGCGAATCCGAGGGCACTGACACCCCACAGATCCTTGCTGGACGGAATCACTGGGCACAAATAATTCTACACCAGACACTGATCTCCATCCCTCCCGACCGCAAACACTCTCACCGTACAGCTCAGGCTACCACAGAATTCATAGCAATCCTCCTGCCCCAGTCCTTGGAGTTCTGGGATTACAAGCCTGCTCCACCCCATGTGGTGTTTATTTTTGTTATTCTGGTTAAAATACCAAGTCTCTGTGCTGTGTTGCCCAAGATGACCTTGAACTCCCAGGGTCAAGGGCTTCCCCTGCTCACCTGTGTCTAACTGGCTAAGAGCTTGAAGGCTCCAGATAGAAGGGACAGAGCAGGAGTGGGCCTAACCATTAGGCCACACACACACACACACATATGCTGTCCCACATGTTACCCATACATGTGGGCAATTATTCCACGTTGGTAAAAAATAAACATTTTTGAGACCATAGCAATGCCCCTGCCTCAGACTCCAAAGTGCTGTGCTGAGATTACAGGCATGATCCACTACGCCCAGCTTTTAAAAAATTAATTTCTAAGCCGGGCGTTGGTGGCACATGCCTTTAATCCCAGCACTCGGGAGGCAGA